TAAATAAATTATATAAATATATGTTTATTTTTGTTTTATAAAATGAGAAAATTATACATGAATTTACATAATAATAATTGCAAAGTAATAAATACATATCAATTTGAAGTTGAATTACCAATTGAATTTGTTTCTTCTACTAATAATAAATATGTTAATACTAAGGCTACCAGATTCTATAATTCATATGGTCAGATTGATTGTGTAAATATTTTAAGAAGTGATTTGAATTCTAGTAATGATTATCCTTCACAAGATGGATTTATAATTTTTGCTAACAGTGATAATCAAAAATCATTTGAAATCAAAGACAATAAAAGAAAAATAAAAATATGGTTTATTGATTACAAAAATAATATAATCAATATTGATTCAGATTATTATTTCATTGTTCAGTTACAGTTAGTGTTTTGAAAATTACCATAAATCGTTTCTAGAATTATAATTATTATAAACAGTACTTGATTCAAAACTCTCATAAATTGTTGTTGTAGTAGTTCTTCCTAATGAATTAATAATATATGTTTTATAATCTGTAAAATTAGATACAGCTTTAGATAACATATATATTTTTAGTGAAGAACCTTGACATATTTCTGTAATAGATGATGTATTTGTTATTTGTAAATTTGGTTCTATTAGATATATCTGATTACTATCTAGAGTTATATTATTCCACATTAAATATGGATTACTTCCTGAATAATTAATACCCGGATAAAATAAATTTTTAAGATTACAATATAAATAAACACATATTGGTTTAGTTGTTATTGATGTTAAATTACTATTTGATGTGAAATTCTTTGGTAAATATAAACTGAAATAATTAAAACAATAAAATCCATCACCCCATAAATAACTAACTGTATCTGGTATTATTATTACTGGATGTTGATTTACATTAAATAAATTTTGTACTGTTGTATATATTTTTCCATTCAACATACTTCCACCACTAACTTGTTCAATAACTTTATAAATTTCATTATTAATAATTACATATGGAACTACCTTTACTATTCTATTTGTTGTTAAGAATTCTGTAACATTATCAATTTTTATTCTAAAATATCCAGTTTTATCAGTTTCTGATTTAATAGAATAAGTAACATTTTTATATGTTGTTGCGTCTTGCGAAATTATATTTGGATATGGATATATTATTTTTGGAGTTGGTATTGAAGCTATTTTTGTATCTGTGTACGCATTACACTTAGAACCAACATTGTCGCTGTAAGAGTTACATGCTGAGGCAATCATATCAGAATATGTATTACATACTAATGTACATTGTCGCTGTAACTTTTAGATTTATTATAATATGTTAATATTTCAGAATTTACATAATCAGTAAAAGAAATATCTTTTGTATTTATACTTACTGTTTCATTTATGCTTGTAATTTTATCAGTTTTAATTTCATTAGATGTTATTGTTGAAGGATTAAAATATGAAGTGCAAAAAACACTATTTTTACTTTTATCTTGATAAGCTGTTGAAAATACTTCCATTTTTATAAATTAAATGTTCAAACTTCTTTATTACTAAAATAAAGATTAAATATATTTTTGATGGTTTACTTGAACATAGTATCTAAATCTACATTAGTAAGTAGTTCAACCTTATTTGGTGATAATGACCACATAGCATCATTTAATAAAATAATATTAATAGCATTAGTATTAACTGAACCAGTAGATCCACTTGGTTTAATATATGGATTATAATCTCGAAACATAGGTGTTGCTTGAAGTGTTAATTGAATATTTGTTGTAGAATATAAACCATCAAAGAAACATCCAGAACCATATCTTTCTAAAGGAATTGACATCATTAAATCAGTAGCATCACTTAAATATTTAATATGTTTAGATGAATCATTAGTATTTTCAGAATGTTCATTAAAAGTTAAACTATTAATTATTGATTGAGGAGCTGCAAATAATGTATCAAAATTAGTATTTGCTAATTGGAATTCACTAAATTCACTTGATAATGTATCCATCTGTTGATCTGGTATAGTTCTGTTTGCTGTTATAACTTTAATATCACTAATATGTGGATTTTTAGATACAGTACATTGATTAATAGATCTTGGGAATAAGAAGAATAACATAGATGTATTTAGGTAGCTCATCATATTTGAACAATTAATTCTAGAAACAGATTGATTTGGTGGAAAATCATATTCAGTTGTTATTTGAGCTGGAACAAATAATGGTGTTTTACTATATTTATCATATATTTCTTTCAATACTGAATCTTTAACATTAAAACCATTAATAACACTTTGAAATAATATACAAGTACTTTTTTGAATTTGAACTGTTCCAATAAACTGAGAATAACTATTTCCACTTGAGAAATAACAATAACCAAGAATAAGTGATTTATCACCAATATATGTAAATTCTTTAGACACACCTTTCATCCAATCAGAAGTTGAACATGTAATTGCATCTGATGCTAAATGATTTTCATTAAATTCATCGCATAATATTGTTGGATTAACCTAACAATAAACAAAATTTTGAGTAATTCTTTGTTTAATATCTAATTCAAATTCATTAAATATTGCATTTGGATATGAAGTAAATGATTGTAAAGGCAAGAAATTATCTAAAGGAATTATCAATTTCATTTC